AAAAAAAAAAAAAAAAAGGCTATCAAGTACACGTGAACGTCCAAGACTAACGCGGCAAGATTAAGCCAAAAACAATCCTACGGCTGAATAAATCCGCGTGCGGCTCAAGCGAAAAGCACACCTCCTTCTCCATATAAATATCATCCCTTGGCGCTTCAATTCTCCCTGCATTCTAAAATCACCAATCGTTTCTTTCTCTTGCTATGGCAAATCTTCTACAATCACTCAAATTTTAACTATACATATTGAATTTCTACAAGTTTTTTCACACATTGATCTGCATTTATTTATGTACGTACTTGCATGTTTGTGTGTAGGCACTTCCGTATCAACCGCAAGTGGATTACCCAAACTTCAAGCTTGTCATCGTGGGCGATGGCGGTACAGGTGATTTTACTATGTTTCCTGATATTTTCACTGAACTATCAAATTTTATACCGAGCTTTTATTTTCGGATCTTTAATTCCATATAATTGAGAGCTGAAATGTGTATTGTGTTGATTATTTTGTTCTTTTAGGGAAAACGACGTTTGTTAAACGCCATCTTACTGGAGAATTCGAGAAGAAATATGAGCGTAAGTGCCGGTTATATTTCGGTATATGAGCGTAATAATGTTATTGTTTAGGAATCAATGTATTTCTTCATGTTACATACAATTGGATATGCATATATATATTTTCGTGTGTGAATATTTTTTTGTATTTATACATATGTCTAGCTTGTCTTAGTCCGAATGATGAGGTTAGATATACTTCATTGAATGATCCCTATAACGTATTTTTTATTTATACACGTATATGTGCATACATCTTGGTGTTTTCTTTTGCTTGTTAATCCTAATGAATCTCTCTACCTCGTTGTGCATCAGAGTACGTATGTAATATCTTGTGCCTATTTAGGGGTACGCAGATGATGTACTGATTGTCTGTTATGCTTCTATTTTGGATTACAGCTACAATTGGTGTAGAGGTCCATCCATTGGACTTCTTCACAAACTGCGGCAAAATAAGGTTCTACTGTTGGGATACTGCTGGGCAAGAGAAATTTGGAGGACTTCGAGATGGTTACTAGTAAGTTTATATTTGATTGGATAGTCATTATTACTAGTCCTACTTCGTGAATGCTGTTAGAGATATCAGTTACTTAGTGCTCTTCTATGATCTATCATTATTGTCATGTATAATATATTATGATTATAATGAATTAAAGATGAATAAAAAGGAAAGACAATAATATAATATAATATAATTTATTTATTTATATTTTTGTTTACCAAGGAATTTAGGAATCTTTGTATCTATTTATGTTTCTCTTGGCAAACATTTTTGATTGAGTAGTTTTGGGTAATTTATATCAGCTACAATGCTCATTTGTTTATGACATCCGTCATTTACAGGAATAAGCTCATATCATTTTTGGATGATTAGTCGGAATAATGTCTAGCAGAAGTGCTCAATTTTTCCTGTGTTCGCTTACGAATTTGATTTGTACTATTACTTGACTCTAAAGGATTTCATATTTTGTATGTAATATAAATTTACAGGCAATAGGAATGTTCGGTTAACTGTTTAAGTACATGTATTTAATTATTTTATCCAAAGCTAGTGAAATTTCGGACTTCTAATATCTTTTTCAGTTACTTTTCAATTTCTGGACCGCACATATTGTGCATTGCCGTGGTTAAAGTTTGCAAAACATTCCTCTGATGGAGGCAAGTAAATGTAGATTTGTTCTCGCATTTTTACCTCTAGAAATAGCTGGAAGAACATGGTCTATGTTGGCTTTTTCAGTAATGACTGTGAATTGCCTACGCTCTTTCTACATCTTAAAATATGATTTTAACACCAACATAATTCAAAAAAATTTGATCTTTGCAGTATTCATGGGAATTGTGCCATCATAATGTTTGATGTAACAGCGCGCCTTACCTACAAAAATGTTCCGACATGGCATCGGGATCTCTGCAGGTTCTTCCTAGAAACTCCATGTTTCCCATTATTGCTTAAAGTTGAAATATCTCGACTAAAAAATTCCGACTTAATATTCTTCTCTCAATCTCAGGGTGTGCGAGAATATTCCAATTGTATTGTGCGGAAATAAGATAGATGTCAAGAACAGGCAGGTGAAAGCGAAGCAGGTTACATTTCACCGAAAAAAGAACCTTCAGTACTACGAGATTTCGGCAAAGAGCAACTACAACTTCGAGAAGCCATTCCTGTATCTTGCTAGAAAACTTGCAGGGTAAAATATTGACACAAATCCATTTCCGTTCGCTTTTGATGGTTCTTGTTTGTCAATGATTCTTGCTGTGATTGCTGATACACATTATATAACTCTTCAGGGATCCTAATCTTCATTTTGTTGAGTCACCTGCTCTTGCTCCCCCTGAAGTTCAAATTGATGTGATAGCACAACTAAAGTAAGTGGCTTTTCTTTGAGAAGCGTGTTTCGGGTGTGCTTCAGTATATTTCGAACACAGCATCGGTTCCTTCTATGGAGATTTCATCTCGAGGATAATAATGTTAGGATGACAACACAATCGTGACAATGAATGTTTTCATCGTTGCAGGCATGAAGAGGAACTAAATAATGCACTGAATCAGCCGCTTCCTGATGACGAGGACGATGATGATTTCATTGGTTAGATAGATTCAGTAAAATTTGAAGTTTCCTATTCAAATTGCAGATGTCAGTCTGATTCGGTTCCAAGTGTCCAGATCACACGGAATTTAGATTTCTACTTTTGTTCTCTCATTCGTCCGTGATCTTGCAATTTCTCAGCTCTAAGAGCAGCACGGAATATTTGCTTACTGCTTACGTATGTAAAAGATGTTCACAATGCAACTGAGAATTGACATCGGATCTTTAATATTGCTTGCCTATTTACATTTCCAAATGGAATTCCTATCCACATCGAACGAGTGCAAATAAATTGGGTAACTATCCAGATTTATTTTCTTCTTTCGAGCCTTCAGATTGCTGCTCTGTTCAACGTGAAGCTAATAAGGGTGCTCATGCATTGGAAAAACTTGCACTATTACTGCAGAATTTTAATAGAAAATTGAGACTATACACAAAACAAATAAATCTTCATTCAAAAGTTTTCCAAATGGTGCAACATACAGCACATCAAGATTGTATATAGAGAAACTAACCCTCAATTGTTAAAAGGGTAAAGACACAAGGGCAGTGAATAAAAACATATATTTTGTATCCAAGCAGTATTTATTGCTCAAAAAACGTACTTAATAGTACTGATTAACATAGGCTATGGAACGGTGCAATAAATTCAAAGTAAAACCTAAAATTAAATTCCTATGTTTATTAACTACTGTTGCTTGAACATCTTCATGAAACTCTTCGAGGTTCAGTTGACCACATCAAGGACCAACTTCCGGGACTTGAGAACTGACCATCTCAAGCGTCTATAGTAGGCTGCTTGGAGAAGTGCGAGAGACAATACAAAGATCCATTTGAAACCCATCTGTCACCATTTCAATGGGAAAAAAGGTTAGACAACCAAAACAAGAATTCGAACAAGAAGAAGATTTGTAAATTTGGAATCAGATATCTCAACCGATTGCCTTCATTAATTGTTAACACTGTGAATGACCTTTAACCATTTTAAAGGGTGAACAAAAAGCAAACCAGTGACACAATTAGCAATATAGTTTTTATATAAAATAAAGACAGAAAAAAAGTAAAAAATAGTAAGGCCAACATTGGTGGTTTTAAAACTGCAAGGTTAATGATTTCAGATGATAAATGATGTTTGGGGACGTTGTTCTGTTTAGAGTTCATTGATATGCTGTAAATCAAGAGAGAATTACAGCTCTCAAATGCAGTAAAAGAAAACCGAAAAACTGGATTCACAATTTCTACAGAGTAAGAGCAGAGAGATACACAGAGGGAGAAAGAGGACGTACCAGCTTTCGCTCTTCCATTTCTGGTTCAGCAGCCCATGACAAAAATGATACAACATCTTTTCCCATCTGCACAATGAAGAAGTGACACAACATGATTTCCAGATTTAAAAGGATATTATGCATAATTATGCAACTCAAAGGATAAGGAAGTCACCTGTGCCTCTGTCGCAGGGGTACTATCTTCATATTCGACAGCACCGTCATTAAGCATTTTAGGCATAGCAATAGCTCCACCAGGGAAATAAGGATTATAGTGTAGCCCTTCTCGAATCTATGTAGTTATTAAAAATGTCAGG